AAGATGGGAAATCTCTTATCATGCAATTTACAGCTTCTAGAAACTAACTGGAGGGTTAGTTATGGGTTGGGTCTGACCTGAGCATATGTGACAACCACCACCACGACAGGCAGACACTTTGATTTTGTTTACTCCTGCACATTCAAGCAAAGAAACAGAACTCCCTGCTGAGGTGATTCTAATTCATAGTGATCTTATAGGATAGGATAGAACTGACCCACAGAGTTTCCAAGACTCTAAAGCTTTACAGATGAAGACTACTGATTTTAGTACATCCAGTGGCTGCTGTATTTGAACTGTAAGTGCTTGGTTAACAGCTGAATGTTTTAACCAGTGTGTCAATAGAGCTCACTTGTTATAGAGTCAATTGTTTACAGTAGTGTTTGCCATATAATAATCTAACCTAAAGTAACCAATTCCTGTCAAATAAATTGTGATTTATAATGATGCCATCAATCGTGTGACACAGAACTGTTTCATAGTGTTTTGCAGGCTGTAATCTTTATGGAAATGATCTTATGGTGGGACGATGTTTACTCACTCAGTTACTAACAAAAAGGTTGGTGGTTTCAATTCTGGAGGTCGAGTGGTAAGGAACTGAGCTGCCAACCTGAAGGCACATGGTTCGACGTACTAGCTGTTCTGTGGGAGGAAGATAGGCAATCTCCTCCTGGGTGATTTACAGCCTCTGAAAACCTGCTGGAGGGTCAGCTATGAGTTGGTTTTTAATTGAAGCACTCGACAACAACAACTAGCTCCATAGGAGCTCTAGTGGCATGGTCTATGTAGAGTTATATGGAAAGATGGGTCGGTCAATCTCCTGTGTGATTGAAAATTTCCAAAAAATACCTGGAAAGTCAGCTATGAGTCAGTTTTGATTTGATGACAATGATTTTCCGAGTTTTCCAGCATGTTAGGGAGCTCTGGTGGCAAGACTGTAGAGATTAGTGCTGCTAATCCAAAAGCTGTGAGTCTTTGGTGGTCCAAATCCACCAGCAATTCCATCAGAGAAACTTGAATTGGCTGTCACTACAATTTATAACCTTGAAAAGCCAATGCAGAGGCAACAATGAGTTGGAACAGATTTGATGAAAGTAGGAATGAATGAATAAAAAAGAGCTTTAGAATAGACAGGGTGAAACCACATGGCTGACGTTTGGGGGGTGGATGGAGAGTAGGAAGTAAATGGAAAGGATCCTGGCAAAAATACAGGGTAAGAATGGACAAGGGCCAACGGTAATTGATTTTATAAAACATAAGGCATGAGAATGATTGTATGAAACACAATGTGAATGAATAGTGTGAAACACAATGTATATAAACTATGTAAGTGAACCAATTTAAAAAATAATGTAAAATAGAATGTTTATGAATGATTGTATGAAACACAACGTGTATAAATGAAACATTATGTAAAGGAATTATTATATGGAAACCAAGTAAAATATTTTAAAAAAACACATGAGCGAGAGGATGATAGTGGTACACTGAATTATTAAACTAACATCAAAACAAAAATCATTAAAAATGTAAAAAAAAAAAGAGGTTAATAGGAGAAAGGTCTGGCAATCAGCTCTCTCTGGAAATAGTGTTGTTGCAGTGTATTGTCGAGTTGGAACCAACTCACAGCTGAACCTCCAATGAGTTTTCAAGGCTGTTAATTACACAGAAGGAAACTGCCCAACTTCTGCCACAGAGTGGCTGGTGGCCTCAAACAATATGACTTCAGTATTTCAGTGCAGCTTCTTGCCACTAGGCCACCAGAGCTCTGTTGCAGTAGTGGTGATAGTAGCAGTAGTATACTATTTTGTGTGTGTGTGTAACTTTCTGTTTGTGCATTATTTAAGTAGGATGTCCCTTGTAGTAGTAGTTTTTGTTGTTGAGTGCTGTCGAGTTATAGGTGACTCATAGAAATCCTATGAACAAAAGACCTGGACACACATATAACTTTTGTCCTTTCTCCAGGTTTACTGGGTTTCTGAAGGCAAGCTTTTTTCGAAGTGGATGCCATTCCTGCTTCCAATCTTGTTTTAATGGGGGAGCTCCACCAAACACTGTGCACCCTGGGTAACCATTCTCACATTTGACACATCAGTGTCAAAGTGTTCAGCTTCATAGCAACGAGTTACCTCTGTATAGGAAGAGGATAGACTAGGGCTATATGATCTAGAAACATGTTTCACCAAAAACAATTAAAGACAGGCCTGAGGGCCATGGATTAGTCACCCACCTTTGGCTTGGCAGCATGACTTTCTGTCCACTAGGCCAACTGATCTCTATGTTGTTGTTGTTGTTGTTAAGTGCTGTTGAATCATAGGCAACCCATTATGAATGAAAGACTTGGACAGCTGTGTAACTTTCATCCTTTCTCCAGGTCCATAGCGCTTCCAGAGGTAAGCTATTTTGGAAGTGGATGCTACTCCTGCTTCCAAGCTTGTTTTAATCAGGGAGCTCCACCAAACACTGTCCACCATGGGTAGCCATTATCACATATGACACAACAGTGTCAAAGTGTTCAGCTTTACAGTAACCAAGTAACCACGAGTTACCTCTGTACAGCAAGAGGACAGACCAGAGCTATACAACCTTGAAGAATGTTTCACCAAAAACAATTAAAGACAGGCCTGAGGGCCACAGGCCCTGGGGCCCTATAGGAGTTTAAGCTACAGCCTTAAGCAGGCTCCGCAGGTTCCACCCTTACTTACCCTTAGTCTAAGGCTCTGGGCAGCTTTTGAAGGGCAAAAGAAACAGTAACACACAGAGAAAAGGACCCCAGAAACTTCCCTTACCTAACTGCCACCAAGTCAATCTGCCAGCCATCCTGCCAATTAGCCAGCCGACAATACTATTTATGGGCCAATTCCACTTTCTCTTGGTACCATAATGAGTCAAAACCAACAAATCTAACAGCAAGCATCTTTATGAAGCAAATCTTCAGACTCCTTCCTGTACACTGCTGGTGGGTTCAAATTTTCATCATTTAGTGTTATTAATAAAATTGGCCATCCCTTTCAAAACATAACAGGCCTTCGATAACCCTATGTACAAAAGAGGACACTTAGAGTAGTCTAGCAGATATGGCAACTGAGACTGAGCGCTCAAACATGGAAACACAAAGGAGAAGAGATATGTTTGTAAGCATTGAGTCTCCTGTGACTCATATAGCAACCCTATATACAATATCTCTGAACTCAGCATTATCCGGTGCCACCATCATCATCTCTGACACACCCACCCCCATTATCCCAATCACTGAGTTTATCCATCTCACCCAGGGTCTTCCTCTCCTGCACTGTCCCTCCACCCTCCCAAGCATGATGTCACTTTCCAAGAACTGGTCCCTCCTTGCAACATACCCAAAGTATGTCAGATGGTGTATTCAGTACTCTTTTTGTGCCACAACTCAAAGGTATCAAATCTTCTGTATATAGGGTTGCTATATGAATCATAAGAGACTCCACGTCACTTAACAACAAAAAACAAACTTCTTACTACCCAGGGACCTCTAGGTAATCAAAAATTAAATACTGCATAAGTAAATAAGAGAATCCTTATTATATTGACATCTGCCTTGTATTTTCCAAGATATGGTTATAATTCTTCATCAGTATTTCTCTATGCACACAAGCTTGGAATGTGGACCCTATAACTATTTAGCTGTTATGATACTTATACAATTAATGTCTCTGAATTTCAACAGAATGGGGTCACACAGCATCTTAGTAGGTTGTTGAGAATTGAATGAGGAAATTCATGTGAAGCACCTGGTACAATACATAGCAAACAGTAAACGTGCAATGCATTTTAGCCATTACTCCTTTAACTCTGGTGATAATTTGATAATTTTCATTTTATGAAAAAACTTACCAACCCTTGATGTACCTCAGAAAGAAAGAAACTGGACATATTTAGATTCAGGGTTCAGGTTACATGTGGTTGAATCCACTAATCTGGAGCGCTCTTCCTGTGGGGGCATCTTTTGAGGAGCATAAATCCTCCTCTTATGACTCCCAAAGCATCCTCTATAGGAATTACCACAGTGTACTTGAATTGGTTGATTCTGTTTGCTGCACTGTGTGGTCTTTTAGAGTGTGATATCTCTTCATTCTATTACAAGGCAATACACTTGTCAATGTTGACCCAATGGATGAGTTATTGCAAAGAAATGAGACTGAGACCATTATTTGCAGTCAGGTCACAAGTGTGCTTTCATTACAGTTTCAAAATTACATTTCTCAATTGATGGTTGAAATCCAGAGAGGAGAGCAGGGTGGAGGGTGTTAGTGTCTGAGATGTAGAGAGTGTAAGAATAAAGGCAATGTGCTAGAATTCAGTGATGTGCTATGAATAAAAAGTGCTTAGAGGACCAATACAAAACCAGTTTTTATTTTCTCATAAATGGCTACTCTATTTCAAAAGTAATGACTTTATTTCTATCCATCGAACTTTATAGAGATGCAGCTCTCCAGGGAAAAATTCTAATGAAACTATTCTTGATGAAGTTGAATAGCAATGGTTATTGGAAATGAGGATTATAAAATGGGAAAGAGGCACACAGCTAATGGTTTGACTGCAATTAGGAATAAAGAAGTATTTATGATGTTAAGATATCTGTGGGTATTTGAAGCAAGACAAAACCGGAAAAAAAACCAAAAATCTGTTCAAAGAATCACTTGTGAAAGTGAGGAAATTGACGGTGCTTTATGTATGCTAAAACCATAGTAAATTCTTACTTCTGGAAAAAGAAGCTTGAGACTAGCAGATTTTACTGCTAAACTAGGCATTAAATGTGTATTTAGGTTAAGAATCAGAGAAACGCAGAGGGAGAGAGGAAGGGGGCAATGGTGGAGAGAGCCAAAGGAGGAAGTTAAGGATAAAGGAGGGGAGAGAAGGCAAGAGATAAGGGAGAGAAAAAATATACCAACACATTTCTGAGTCTTCAAAACTATCACATGTTAAAAATGTTCATCAGTAATATGTTTCAATAGGAAAGTACTTACATTTGGCCTCAGCTTTGCTGCCAAGTCATAATACTTCTCAGCTGCTTCATTTAGGCTGGCTTGTCTGTGCAAGAAAAAAAAAAAAAAAAAGGAAAAAGTCCAAACCATTTAATTAGAATTGTAGGAAAAGCCCAGCCCAGCCGACTGCCTACAAGTTGCTTCTGACTCAGTGAGTGGCCCTATGGAGCTAAGCAGCACCACTCCACAGAGTTTTCAAGGCTATAAGCTTTCAGGGGAATACTGGTAGCTCTGTGGCAAGGAGCTGTGCTGCAATCCCAAAGGCATATGGTCCATTCCATCAGCTGCTCCACGGGAGAAGGATGGGCAATCTCTTCCCATGTGATTAACTGCCTTTGAAAACACGCTGGAAGGTCAGCTATGGGTTGGTTCCAACTCGACAGCACACAACAACAATCTTTAAAGATTCAGACTGTCACATCCTGTTTCCACAAAGTAGCTGGTGGGTTCATACTTCTGATCTTTCTGGTTGCCAACAATGTATTCTAACCACTGTGCCAGGAAAGTCACTTAAAATTGTAGAAAAGTGAACAGAATCAATCATTGCACAGCAAAACACTACTTTTTATATTTACAGTCAAATCAGTCAAATAAAACACTAAGTTATCCAGGCAGAAAAAAAACACACCAAACAAACAATACAACAAACCCAATTAAAAGAAATAACTTTTTTTATTTCAAGTGCATTTGAGGCATTTTACATTACATCTTCACCAATCTTATTTACATAAATATTTTTGCTTTTAGCTTTATAGATAGATCTATTACACATTAGGAAACTTATTTGACTTTCCCCCAAAGTAACTCAGATAATACATTGACTACTGGGATACTCTAGCATTAATACAATGCTTCTGGAAAAATATTAGTATTTTTATTATAGATTTTCAAAATTAATGATCAGCTGCTTTGTTTTTAGGAAACAGTAAACACTGGCATATTTTAAAATTTTATATTATTTGTCTAGAATAATATTTTTCCTTTCTTTCCTATTTGAGAGAAGGACCTTCTGTTTGGTGTAGTTTATCGGGAAAAAAAGCAACCCAAAGCAAATCCAAAAACCAACAAGCTCTTCGTTTTGCTTGTTTTCCGGTCACAATTTCTGTGCTCTTTGGTACATCATCTGGGCTTAACTAATTAGATGAGCTCATCTGGACTTTGATTCCTGTGTGACCGGAAGATGAAGGGATCTCCAGGATTTATTCACAATAGTGGAAGTGATGCAGCTATGCGCTGGCCTGAATCCTCCTGTAAATAACTGCTGTTGTGTGCTCTGCAGCTTGACTTCTCTGGGTACCTTATTTCCTGCTGATTCAAGCAGGGACAAAGCCCAAAAGCACCACTCTCCAGCCTGCACTGAATTCTACAGTCCCGACCAGTTTCAAACAACCTGACACAGCTTCCATAGCTTACAACCAAATACCATGAGTATGATACAAATAAGATGCATAGTGAATGTAAAACACAAGTTTCTACATCACTTGTTCTGGCAATTCACAGCCAAGGCCTAGGTTCTGCCAACTTGTTAGCAGAATAAATCAAATGCTTTGGTTCTAAAGGAACTCACAAAGATGTTTTTTAATCATGTCATGCTGATTCAGAAGACCTTCAGAGATGGGAGATGATGAGCACTGACTTAACAAGCTCTTGAAAAGTGACCTGAAATATTTGAGGGAGATAAGATAAATGCCAAAGGAAAAAAATGCCAAATTTCACCACAGTTTATGAATACAGTGTGGCTACTACATATGCAATTGTATCAAATTAAAGACTTGAGTTAAAAAGGAGCTTTCTCTTGAAGCAGTGATGTTAGGGAACTTTAGTGACAAAGATGATAAAGAGGTTAGAAATAAAGGGGAGAAAACAAAACTTAACTCTCATATAATTGGGTTTTAAAAGAGAATGCCAACTGTACCTATAAAATTGAATTTTCATTTTGGTCAAGCTAAATAGAAATTACACAAATCCCATCCACCTACATAAACTTATAGGAAAAACTGAAGAGAACATCTTTATGGAGAATTGGATATAATTTTCTAAAATTTTAAAGAAAAAATAATTATAAACACTGCTATTTTTAAATGAGGTTACAGGGAAAGTACAAACCTTTGACCTATGGCTCCACTAGCCCCATGACATATTATAAAGTGCTATTGCAATTTATATTCTCATAAATGTTGAAGTTCAATTTCAATATGTCAAGAGAAATACTGATCAGCCTGCTATGCAACAGTAAAAATTCCCTCACTAGGGTAGTTAATGAAGGATCACTCTACCAAATTACAGAATCTCTTTGGTTCAGTTTCATTTGGAAATTTGAACCAGAATTCATTAGGTCATGTCCTGGAAGAATTTCCCCAGAGGACAATAAAGGCATGGAGGTAGGAAATTAGTAACTTAATACTACAAAAAGGTACGTTGCTTTGAAGTAAGCTCAACCAATAGATGTCTAAGATGGAAAGTGGAGCTATCATTAAAATTCATTTTTATGGATGTTCAAGTTCATAGGTCAGTAAAGATCAAAGGAGAAACTGAGGAATCCATTAGAGGAAATGCTTTCAAAACAATGATCAACTTGAGTGATAAGACCTTTCTTCCCTCCACAAAACTGGTTATTAGTATTTTTAAAGCCTTCATACTCCACTGGTTAGATTCTGAAAGGAATCTTAGTTTGAATCTTAGTTACCTGAGGTAGATAATTCAAACCAAACAATTTTTAAAACCTCAGTAGAATTTACTGTTGCTACGGTCAAGGACTGCAGCCTTCAATATGGACTGAGGCTCAATGTTAAGAAGACAAAAATTCTCACCACTGGACCAATTGATAGCATCAGGATGGATGGCGAAGAGATTGAGATTGTTCACAGCTTCAGTTTGCTCGGCTCCACGGTCAACACTCTTGGCACCAGTAGCCAGGAAACAAAAAAACGTATTTTGATGGGAAAGTCTGTGGTTAGGGACCTCTCCACAATACTCAAGAGCAACAGTGTCTCTCAGGAGACTAAGGTCCGCCTGATGCAGGCCATGGTTTTTTCAATCACTTGTTATGCATCAGAGAGTTGGACAATGACTAGGGAGGATAGAAGGAGAATTGACGCCTTTGAGCTGTGGTGCTGGAAAAGAGTATTGAATGTACCATGGACTGCCAAGAAAACAAACCGATTCATTGTAGAGAGGATTAAACCGGGCTGCTCCTTGGAGGCAAGGATTCTGGGGCTTCGTCTGACATACTTTGGGCATGTTGTAAGGAGAGACAGGTCTTTGGAGAGGGACATCATGCTGGGTAGAGTGGAGGGACAGCGCAGGAGGGGAAGACCCTCCATGAGGTGGATTGATTCAGTGACTGGGGTACTCGGGATGGGTTTGTCAGCGGCAATGAGATTGGCACAGGATAGAGCACGGTTTAGGGCTGTTGTACATAGGGTTGCTATGAGTCGAAAACGACTTGATGGCACATAACAACAACAACAACAACGTGCTTTTGAGTCATTGTTTCAACTAACTTTCTACCTTTCCCAGCATGATGTTCTCCTACAAGGACTGATCCCTCCTGGTAACATGCCCAAAGTATATGAGATGGAGCTTCAAAGTCCATGCCTCCAAGGAGCAGCCTGGTTTAACTTTCTCCAAGACAGACCTGTTTGCTCTCTTGGCAGTCCATGGTATGTTCAATACTTTTTTCCAAGACCACAACTCAAAGTCATCAATTCTTCTTCTGTCATCCCTATTTATTGTCCAGTTCTCAGATGCTTAGCAAGCAACCGAGAAAACCACGACATGGATCAGGTGCATCTTACTGTCTAGACTGATATGTGTCATTGCTCATTGGCACTTGGGAGAGATTCCTGAAAGCAGATTTTCCCAAAGCAACTCATCTCTTTATTTCCTGACTGATACTTGCATATGATACCAGTTATAATGTTCAATAATTTTCACACTCTGTTGAATTACCTTTTTTATGGTGAAGGGAAATAAATATGAATCTCTTCCAGATGGCCAGGTAGTTGTCCTGCAGATTTCTTGGCAAAAACTGCTGAGCACATCGAAGGCTGCATCTGCTTGTTGATACATGTTAACTGGCATTTCATCAATTCCTTGGCCTTTTGCCCCCACCTTTTTTCCAGAGCAGCTTGAACTTTCTCTTTCATTATCATGAAAGAGGATCATTTTTTTGTGTGTGTGTTTTGTATTTTTTAATAAAGTTTGTAATCCAATGGACACAGAAAACAAAACTGTGCTGAGAAAAACAGTTTCATAAATTAATAAGTGTTAGGAAGTTGGGGGCGGTCCAGGTAGAGATCAGCCAGTCTCTCTTTACATTTTTGATAATATGCTATTTTATGAAATTGTTCTGTGTCAGCCAGCTCTGTTGGTTACAATGACTCTGTGCATTCCTTCCATCTCTGCATGCTTCTTGCATCATTATTCTGTTGATAACATCTAAGTTTTGCAATTCAAGACTTCAATTTGCTCTTGCATTCCTTCAGCTTGAGAAATGCCAAGTGAGGGATGAACTCTTGATTTTCTGTCTCCAGTTCTTTGCACATTTCATTATAATAATTTGCTTTTTCTTCACAAGCTGCCTTTGAAATCTTCCATTCAACTCTGTATCTTCCAACTGTCTTCCCTTTGCTTTGGTTGCCTGCACTGCAGTCAGAGTTTCTTCTAACATCCATCTCTGTCCTTTCTTCCTCCTCTGTCTTTGCAATGACCTTTTACTTTCTTCCCATATAAAAATACAGAAATTCACTTTCATCAAAAGCTTTTTAGTCTATTATTAAGTGGCTCCTATTACTAAACAATAAGGATATATTGTGGCCTATTGGGTTATATATTGGACTACTAACTAAAAGGTGGGCAGTTTGAATCTACTAGCTGCTTCTTGCAAGAAATATGAGCAAGTTCAAGACTTCTGGCCTTGAAAATCTGAAAGGAAGATAACTATGAATTGGAATTCACTTGATGAGAGAAGGTCTTCAGTATAAATAATCATTGAAGGGAAAAGACTATGCCAATAAATAGTCAATTATATTCTTATTTTCTAGT